TAATCCATCCATGGTACGAGAGTTTGTCATGCAGGAGGCACAACAGAATGATGATGTAAGTAAGAAGTTAACAGAGCAAAAAATAACCAACAAGGTAAATATTCCTTGCACTAATAGTAAGCCTTTGTACATGGAGAGCTATAGCTGTCTTTATTATATAATTAAGATTTAATTATATTTGATGTTTGGGGAAAGTATAGACACAGTTATCAAATGACTGATCTTTTCCCTGAACTGACTCAGTTTCTAAACTAGCAATGACTTGCTAATAATCCATTTAGATTTTGATTTAAAACGTTAGGATCACATTTCCTTTTAATTTTGAGACTGATTTGCTGTATTGTCTTGTTTCAATCATTTAATCAATTCATTGTTTGATATGTGAGGTTACAGTAACTTGCCTAGGAAAGCATTGACTTTGCTAGGAATTGAATCCCGGAGCCATCAAGAACGACAAAATGAGATGTGCGCCTCTAAGGAGCGTTCTTAAGTTAGGAAAGCACCCTGCTTTGACTCATGTCTATTACACTGTATACCACAGCAGTATACAATGTACTTTCAGAGCATGCTGTACTTGGCATGTGGGCAGTCCTGACTTTGTGTGCTCTTTCCTCCCTTGCCCATAAAATCTTAGAATTTTTTCCCCACTTAAAATAGAATATTCTCTTAGCCCCTAAAGTTTAAGGAGGAATTTTTTAAAGCCCTTGAGGGTGAAATACCTGTGCAGACAATCTATGAAGTTTTTACAAAATGAAAACCTAACTGTTGCCTATTTTCCAGTTCCTAATTGGCTTAATGTAATCTCACTACAAACTGACATGCCCAGAAACATCTCGATTTAAAGGCTTAAATGACTTTTTGTAGTGCTAAGGGAAGGTGCAGAAAATTAATGGTGAAACTGCAGGTCTGTTAATGGAACTGCTTTAGTGAAAATGTAGACCTATACTTCCTAATACTTCACTCACATGCACTTGCCTTCTTACTTTCTAACCTTGATGATCATTTCTGTGTCCTGTTTACCATATCTCTGTCCTTGTCCAGCCCAGCAGTATATAATAGGCAAGAGCAGGGTTTTCTCATTGAGCCCCTCCATTTTTATTTATGTCCTGGGCCAGGGACACCAATCATAATGGAATCTAAGGAAAACTTTTAAAATAAATTTTTATCTAATCTATTTGCTTCTGTGCTCTCTAAATACCTTAGTCTTGTCTTCCCTCAGTTCGATTATTTATCAAGTATTTTTTATTAAATATAAATGCTATATCATTCTGTAAAGTAAAAATAGAAAATATTATGTCCGATCTAAATATGCTTACTGTTAAAGTAGGGCTCCTAAAGCCTCTTAGCTCACGTTGGAAGGGAAGTTACATTTTTAGAGAGTTCTCTCCATGGAACACAGCAGAATCAAAAACCTGTTGACACCAAACAGAAACTTGACTTGTGATAACACTGAGTGTGATGCCCCTGTATCATGTTTTAGGAAAGCACTGCCATAAGAACCCTATTAGCAATAGCAGGACAGCTAGATCTGTGTGTGTGTTGCTGTAGTATATGTTTTAGTGTGTGTTTTGTCTATTCCTTTCCCTAATAAGTGGGCCTTCTGTGTATTTTTCTCACCAGGATATTCTGCTCATCAACCTCATTATAGAACATATGATTTGTGATACAGATCCTGAACTCGGAGGAGCAGTGCAACTTATGGGCCTGCTTCGAACTTTAGTTGACCCAGAGAACATGCTAGCCACTGCCAATGTAAGCGATAGAGGTTTTTCTATGTCTCATAATGAAGACTGTTCACTGCTCGTAGGAACCAGTGCAGTTAAAGTTCATGGAAATGTTTTTGATTCCTTAGAAAACAGAAAAGACTGAGTTTCTGGGTTTCTTCTACAAGCACTGTATGCATGTTCTCACTGCTCCCTTGCTGGCAAACACCACAGAAGAGAAGCCCAGTAAAGGTAAGCTCACACAACTTGGTGGTTATGTTCCCTCTTCTTGAACTCTGAAACTGATCTGTGAAATTCACATTTGGCATCGAGTAAGTCTTTTTTTAAGTTCACACCGTTTGGTTCAGAAGAGATGTCAAGGTAAAATCTCATTTAAAAGTTGCGGTGATCTCAGATCACAAAAGCATGTAATAGAATTAAATGGTAATTGTTGCTTTCAGAATTTTTAAAGTAAATTTGGTGAGCAATTTAAATTTATACAGGCAAAATAAACAGAAAGGAAATCACTTTCTCAGAAGCTAAGCTATATTAATTTCACTTGTATGTCAGATGTTATCTATTTGTGTTGCATATCAGAGCTCTGGGAATAGATAAGTTGCCATGTAGAATTATCAAATTGCTTATAGAAAATACGTTAAAATATTCTCACAATATTAAATAGAATTCAGAACTCTTTGAAACTGGAATATTTGTTTTTCTGTCTACTTCATTCCTATTACATATGCTTGGGGTTTCTTTCTAAACCGTATTTTCAATTCACTAAACATTTATTGAAAATCAATTGTGTGGGAAGGCATTGTGCTATATATTTTTAGGAGCTTTTTGTTTGTTTCACTAGGGCAACAAAAAGTTGCCTAGTGAGGAAGAAAGATAAGCGACTAATTTATAGTTTGCTCTGGCCTCTTTATGTTTCAGGAAAGGGGTTCAGAAGGCCTTAACCTTTGTGGGAGCAGATGAATTCCACTGGAGATGATAGGGGGTGTGGCAGACAGTACACACAGCTCGTGTCACTTCAAAATCTTTCCATGTACAATGTAGTGGAATCCATTAATGAATTTAGTCATTTTGTGTACCTACCACCCACCATACTCCGTTTTGGGGGGACTTGTTAGGACACGGCACAACAAGCTCGCACTTCAGAAGTAGATCTTAAAAACCCGGGAGCTGTACCTCTCCTGCCCTTTTGCCTGTTCAGACACGGGTCTGGTTAGTTATAAACGGGTCATATTGTGTAGCTAATTCCCCATAAGGTTGTTTAAATCAAATACATTTATAGCACAGTTCCTGGCATATGGTGAGCACTTTAAATCTTTTTTTCTTAACCCTAAAATAGTTGAGTTTCATAGTCTTTTATGTAAAGGTCTGGTAACTACTGTTTATAATTTTAAGTACAAGTAGAGATTTTACTTGGTTGTAATTTAGGTTTTTCTGTGTAAGAGATAAAAATATTAGTCATTAAATATAATTGTGTTTTTTATTTTAGATGATTTTCAGACTGCCCAGTTATTGGCACTTGTATTGGAATTATTAACATTTTGTGTGGAACACCATACCTACCACATAAAAAACTACATTATTAATAAAGATATCCTCCGGAGAGTCCTAGTTCTTATGGCGTCAAAGCATGCTTTCTTGGCATTATGTAAGTGTTTCTGAAGAATCGTTTATTATTGTTATGTCACCATATTGTTAGTGCTTACAGATAAGGAGAAGAAAAGGTCTCTGACTACAGTTCAGGCGTCCATGGTTTTAGGGCCAGCTCTGCCTCATTTTGCCTCATCCTAGTTTCGTTCTACTGAGCCAGTCAGTGCCTTTCCTGATGTTACAGAGCCAGGGGATTAGAGGACATCTGTAACACCATATTCGATACTACGTCCACTTATTAAAACAACACCCAGGGGGTTAGAGGACATCTATAACACCATATTCGATACTATGTCCACTTATTAAAACAACACCGTTGATCGTTTTGCCTGTTTGAAAGCAAGGATGGCCAAATTTAGCCTATGGTCAATGTTTTCTTTGACATGCACACTGGAAATGTTACTTTTAAAGTTCTAGACACCATGTGTTGCCCATTTGACTTGAAATAGTATTTGCTACCTAGCCCTTTCAAGGAAAGGCTTGCCAACCCTTTTTCAGAACAAGAAGTGGTCTTTTATCAAGACCTGGAAGTTGGTCACAGTTAACATTCTTAAAACACTCTGGTTTGTTGAAGTAAAATGTTTGCGAACTATCAGTGGAAATTTGGATCATACAGTAGCAGCCTGCTTATGTAATGGGTTTCCATATTTGAACTGTCCGTACTATGAGAGGCAGACTACGTTTAGGGGTCCTAGAAGCCAGGTAAGAGATCTGTGCTGGTAACTAGTTGCTGCGCTTTGGTTTTAAAGGTGAGTTGGAGTGTTCTGTGGCTGTTTCCAAAGTGAAGCACCAGTGGGAGAGCTGACCACACCACACACATTTGTCTTTTTT